GTTGGCTGCGTGCAAGGCAGACGCCCTACCGCTGTGCTATCGCTCCAGCCCCGGTACTAACTGTAGACTAATTGTAGAAAAGGATTTAATTTTGAGGGATCATTTACTTTTTTCTTTATGGATTATAAATTTTTATCTATTGGGATTTTTATATAAAGTGCAAGTCAAGGATTGAGGTTCCTTTGTTTTTTGCATGTTTAGTTATCTGTATCACTGTATCACTGTCCTCCCTCCCGTTGTTCATCGATTTGCTCGAGCAGGCCCAGTAACGTCTCCATTGGAGACTTTGTTGTTACTGTGTCTGGCATATCGAATACGTCACGGGGAGCTTGCCAGGCTCTGCCGTGCGGGCGAGATACTCTCGGTAGCTTGCTGGGCTCTCCGAGAGGGGCGGAGGAATCGAACCCGGGTCAGCCATGTTGGCTGCATGCAAGGCAAACGCCCTACCGCTGTGCTATCATTTAGTAACTATTCATTGATTTGGGCACATTGTTAAATATAGAAACTATGTCTGTTAATATCTTGGTATCTATGAAAGATAATACAAAAACTATGTCTGTTAAGAATATCTTGGTATCTATGAAAGTTAATACAAAACTATGTCTGTTAAGAATATCCTGGTATCTATGAAAGAAAGACATTAAAACTGAAAGAGCGATAAAATAGTTCAATGAGTATATAAATACTGAGTGTACCATTCTGTTACAAAAGTTTGATAGATGATGGCTATTACTTTATACTGGAATATCAGAGAACAATACTTTATCTTGCATTAAAAACAAAGAAATCCACAGTAAACACTAAAAAATTTTAAGAAATTGCACTTATTATTTTATTTATGTTTTTGGCTTTTTTGGTCACACCTGGTGATGCTCAGGGGTTACTCCTGACTCTACACTCAGGAATTACTCCTGTTGGTATTTGGGGGACCATATGGGATACCTGGGATTGAACCTGGGTCAGCCGTGTTCAAGGCAAACTCCCTACCCACTGTACTGTCATTCTGGCCCTGCAATTTTGTAAGTCAGAGTATTCTCAAATATTGGCGATTTCCTCCTTTTTATTTCTTAGATCATGTTACCATTGTCGTTATACTTCAAATATTTTGTTTCTCAATTAGTTAAAAAAACAAATAAAATGAGTACTTATCGTATGCTTGACATTGCTTAATTTGAGAAATGGTGCCTAAATCCTTAAAATGCTCATAGATGGGTCAATCATAGGGAATTAGTATTAAAAAAGTTGTGGTTAGTATATAAAAAAAATTGTATCTATTTTAGCAAAAGAGAATAACCAATCAGTCACGTGTGATTTTTTTTTCACTGTCTAAATTTTGATATTAACCACTACATTTAAGAGCTTATTCTTACGTGCCAGGGAGATATTACAAGAAGCACTGGGCCTTGCTTGCAGCCAGCCCTGGTTCAAATCCCTGACACCACATATCACCCCCCTCCAGTGGTCATTCCTAAGCACAGAGTAAACCTGAACACTTCTGAGCCGTAAAAAGAATCTCATGCTATACCAATGAAATAACTGAGCTACTAGATGAAACTAGATAAACATTTAAAAGGATAACCAGAGCAATAACCCAGTAGTAGGGCGTTTGCCTTGCACGCGGCCGACCTGGCTGACCCAGGTTCGATTCCTCTCCCCCTCTCGGAGAGCCTGGCAAGCTACCGAGAGTATCTCGCCTGCAGTGCAAAGCCTGGCAAGCTACCTGTGACGTATTCAATATGCCAAACACAGTAACAACAAGTCTCACCATGGAGACGTTACTGGGCACGCGCGAGCAAATCGATGAACCAACGGGAGGATAGTGCTGCTGTGCTACCAGATAGGGTAGTATGGGGGTGTAGATGTTTGCCTTGTATGAGAAGGACCCCCGTTCAGTCACTGGTACTGTGGTACCCTGTGCACTGTCAGGAGTGTTCCCTTAGCAAAGCCAAATGTGACCCCAAAATTAAAAAATTCAAGTGACAAACTAAGGATAAACCAAAGTCAGTCAACTTCTTATTATTTGAGAGACCACTTACTCATCTCTATATTCCATAGAGTTGTGCTTTATATTCGGTCCTTCCGTAATAGAGCCACTCCTGGTAATAATGCACTTGGTGGTGTAGGGTTGAGGGTTCATTGTTTGTCAGTGCTGTGGTTAATTTTCAACTATATGGATGTTTTTTCTATTTACTAAACAAGCCTAATCATCTGTTGTACATTGTTGGTACAGTTTTTCCTATGACATAAACATCAGTATCACTATCATCCTGTTCATCGATTTGCCTGAGCGGGTGCCAGTAACATCTCCATTCATCCCTGTCACGTGCTAGTGTAGCCTGATGGCATATTGGGGGTTCTTTCAGGGGAATGAGGACCATCATTGTTACTGTTTTTGGCATATTGAGTATGCCACGGGTAGCTTGCCAGGCTCTGCCGTGCGAGTGGGATACGCTCAGTAGCTTGTCGAGCTCTCTGAGAGGGATGGAGGCTTTTGGAGCAGCCTCTAATCACCTTTACAGGTGTTCCCAGTCAGGCATATATGCGGGCAGGATTCTCTCCGTAGCCTGCTGGGTTCTCTGAGAGTGAGAAATACTAGAGATAAGAGGTCACGAAGCCTTGAATGTGGCCGCACTTCCGGGAGCTTGGTTTTATAGTCTTTGGATCCTGGCCATTGATGGGGTTACACAGCAGATGGTGGGTGTAACTGTCTAGCTACTGGAAGATGGGAGATCTGGGTGGAGGAGGTCCAGTCCCAAACCAAGAAGGCTTGGAGATCTCAGCCCCAGGTCCCACACACCTGGGTTCCTCTGCTGGTTCCTTCATGTGTGAGACTTGTCCAAGTGTGTGGAGAGTGGTCTCAGCATAGCTGTGGCTGGGTCCCGGAGGTCTTCAGCTGCCGGGACTCTGCTCGGGGCGGAGAGGGAAACTCAACCTGTCCTACAAGGACCCGGTGAGGACAGCCAGGTGCCGGGGCAGGAGATGGCGTTGTTCTCTTTCGGGAGCTTGGTTTTATAGTCTCTGGATCCTGGCCGTTGATGGGGTTACACGGTAGTTGGTGGGTGTAACTGTCTAGCTACTGGAAGATGGGGGATCTGGGTGGAGGAGGTCCAGTCCCCATCCAAGAAGACATAAAAATATGAGACATTAATATTACATGCTGTCCAATAGGCTCTCCGAGAGTGAGCTACCAGTGCCAGGCATTAGCGTCTTAAACAGCATTTTCAGAAACTTAGATCAGATTTTTATACTTAAAGTGTTTTTGTTTTCAAACTCTTTGGGTCACACCTGGTGTTGCATGGGGGTTCTCCTGGCTCATGCACTCAGGAATTAATCCTAGTGGTGCTTGGGGCACCATATGGGATGCTGGGAATCAAACCTGGGTCGGCTGCGTGCAAGACAAACGCACTACCCACTGTGCTATTGCTCCAGCCCCCATTAAAATGTTTTAAGCCATTATTTTGCTTTATTTTTTTCCCCCTAAATGCTATCTTTTCCTTAAAGTTCAAGGGTATGGGCACATATTTATAGATGATTGTGAATGATCGGCAGATAATTATTTTGTGTACTCTTTGTCATGTTTTCCAAGATAGCTTCTTTTTTTTTTTTTTTTAATCATCAGGTTCTTTTGAGAATCTAAGAGCTATGGACTAGGAAAGGTGCCCTGTGATGTTTTGCATGTAATTTGATCAGAAAAAGAACTCCAATAACTATGCAGAAAAGATTTTTTTTCAAGTAAGGCAGGATAGTTTTTACTGAATGAAACTTGCTTATAAAGATGTGAGAGGAGTGAGCAAGGAGAAATGTTTTCAGTAGGGAATACAGGTTACTCCACAGTGGAAATAAGCAGGTAAAGAAACAGAGAGACAAATGAATGATATATTTGAGAGAGAACATGGCCTTGAAGAGGAAGGAAGGATTTATTTTTATTTTTATTTTTTTTTGCTTTTTGGGGTCACACCTGGTGGTACTCAGGGGACCATATGGGATGCTGGGAATCAAATTTGGGTCAGCCGTGTGCAAGGCAAACGCCCTACCCACTATGCTATCGCTCCAGCCCCAGGAAAAATTATTTTTTAATGTGAAACCCTAAATACCTATCATCGGATGAAGAATCTGATGACCTACTCTAGCAGGTCTAATGACCTGCTCTAGCAGGTTTCTATTTGGGATTATCTTGAGCACATTCTTGTTATCTCTTGGAATGCTTTGATGGTGGCATGATGCCGTGAAACATGTTTAAACTGCAAAGCAACATAAAAATAATGTAGCTACATGAAATAACACTCATTATTTTGGGTATATAACCTATTTTTAGCTTTTAAAAATGTGAAATTTAATACTTCAAAAAATTTTTTTTGTTTCATTTTTTGGGCCACACCTTGCTTTGCTCAGGGCTCACTCAGGGATACTACTGGTGGTGCTCGGAATCCATGTCAGGTGCTGAGGGTTAAATCCCAGTTAGGTATGTGAAGGACAAGTGCATTTCCCACTGTACTGTATCTCCAGCTCTTTTTTTTTTTAATTTAAAAAAAAATCTTAATTAGCAATTCTTTCCTGAAAGGCAAAGTAAAAAGTGTTACTTTTGATTCTACAAGTCAAATTCTAATACTTAAATAGCAGTTTGTAAAGTTTTAAGAATATTATTGTTCCCACTTGTCATATATTATTCGAGATGGATTTTTTTTATGATATCAAAAGGGAAGGGGGGGGATGATGTTGGGTAAGAGGGAGGGGTATTGAGTGAACAGTGATCTATGAAAACAAGACCTTTAGTGATGGGCATAATTTGATATACCTATATACATAGAATGAAGAGTTATGAAGCTCTATACCTGAAAATTATAGTGTTTATCATTTTTGCCTCAACTTTAAAGGAAAAGGATCTACTTGGGGATAAAATGTATATTCATAAAAGAAGAGTTGTGTGTGTATGTACTTGTCTGATTGCTCTTTATTCCTATACTTAGAAGGTTGAAATGAATATGAACTTCTTTTTCTAGATGGAGATGGTGATGGAGATGGAGCAACTGGAAAAAAGAAAAAGAAGAAAAAGAAGAAGAGAGGACGTTAGTGTCTTGAATTGATTTTACTTGATAAATTAGAAGTGGTTGCTAACAGGTTTAATAACAACTATTAGCAGGTTTGAAATTAAGATCCTTAGAGGTGGCATTTGGTAAAACTGATAACTTATAAACATGGTGTTTTCTTTAGCTGTTAATTCAGAGGGATGTTATGAGTTAGATGCATTTTGCTGCATATTAGAAATTGATTCCTTAAAATGTGATTTAAAACTTGACTAATTCGAGTAACAATCCAGTCAGGCTGTCACCACATGATAGGTAAAAGTTTAAAATACTTTACAGTCTACCAGTCAAGTTAAAAATTATGAGATTGTTGATGAGTATAGGTAATGAGGCTTCCTATTTCAGTTATATGTATATTGGGGCGGGAATGATAGTGTGGTGGGTATGGTGCTTGCCTTGCAGGCAGCTGAGATGAGTTGGATCCCTGGCTTCCTATATTGTTCCCTGAGTACCGCCAGGAGTAATGCCTGAATGCACAGCCAAGAGTAACTCCTGAGCATTGCCAAGTGTCACCCAAAAAAACATAAAAAAGTATGTATGTGGTGAAATTTTATTCATAGCATTATTTTGCACAATTTCAGATTTGTTTATAATCCTATTTGTATTTTGTGTATATAAATGGCATAACCAAGCTTTTTTTACGAATTTGTAGCTTGTTTAGGACAACCAATGGGAGATTATAGTGTACGAAACAAAGATTGGGGTGAGAAACAAAACACTTCAATCTTGAACGCCCTTTAGACTACTAAGCCATAGAGAAGCTTTCTTTTCCTTTCTTTTAAAATTGTTTAGGCTTAAATTTTGTGAATCAAGAATTTTGAAAATGACTTCAGTTATTACCTAAATTGAGAGAAATACATGTTATTTTTTAAGAAAGTTCTTGAATTTGCCAGCCATTTCTTTTGATGTTTTTTTCTAAGTGGAAAAGAAGTAAGTTTCTGTGCTTGTTAGACTTTCTCTTCTTTTCGGAGTCCTGTCCCTCCCGTGGGCTGTTTAGTCACTACATATTTGCATTCAGGAATCTTATTGGAATTATAAGATCATATTCCTTCCATTCAAAAATTGTTAAAAAAGTGTTTTTGTGAGGTGTGGTATTATTCAAGAAGTACCTGAGAGAACTATTTGACCAAATGCTCTTAATTTGCCCGCTACAAAGTTAGATAATAAGGAGTTATGCTAAAGGACTGCATTCTTTGGAAGAATTCTTCCACTGACAGGTATTTTAGTCTGATGCCATTCGCCTTTATGCCATTATGCCTCCTCTGAGGATGTTGAACTTACCATTTAATATTTAACTTTAAGAGCATTTTCAAGAGAGCTTTTTTGTCTTAGAATCAAGAATGTGCATTTCCTGAGTAGGTAATGTGTTTTTATTTCAGAAACATGAACTAGTGCAGTCACCAGCTTTTCTTTTTAATGATGGCTGGTAAAGGGCACAGAGCCAAAATCTGTGGTGTTTGTGTTGGCCATAGTTTAGACCCTATTTCTTTTGTTTTTAGATCACACCCTACTGCTGTTTAGGGGCTTACTCCTGGCTCTACGCTGAGGGATCACTCCTGGCATGGGTTGGGAGACCATTTGGGTGCCAGGGATTGATCCTTGGTCAGCCATGTGCAAGGCAAATGTCCTGCCCACTGCGCATCAGTCAAGTTCTATTTTAGATTCTATTTTGTTCCTTTTTTTTTTTTTTTGTAATTTTGATCCTTGTCTTGCAATTACATTCAGTATCTCTTACTTGTGTGTTTTAGATACTCTGGTAGACTTAACCATAACTCTCTTTGGTCCTAGCCAAAATAAGTAATCATGGGCATGTCTTTTGTTTTTTAAATTTATTTTTTAATTGAATCACTGTGAACTGCACAGTTAAAAAGTTGATCATGATTGGTTTCTTTCATGCAATGTTCCAGCACCCATCCCTTCACCTGTGTGTATTTCCCACCACCAATTATCCCCTCTCGCCACTACCAGCATGCCAATCATAAGCAGTCTTTGCCCAAATTTTTTTTATTTGTACATTGAGAAAATTAGAAATGATAGTCCATAATAACTGCAGTCTGGATTATTACAGATCATTAAATAGTTTTGGTTAATAACTTGATACACATAATTTTTATAGTATAGTCAAGATTTGATCTGGCTCTTCATATTGTAGATGAGAAAACTGAGAAACTATATTTTTCTAAGTCACAGTTAATAAGTAGTAAAACAAAGATTTCCACTCATAATTTTTTTTTATTGGGGGGGTTACACCCAGCAATGCTCAGGTGTTACTCCTGGCTCTTCACTCAGGCATTATTCCCGTTCGTGCTAGGGGACCTTATGGGATGCTGGGGATCAAACCTGGGTTGACTACATGCAAGGCGAATGCCTTATCTACTATACTATCGCTCCAGCCCCCATTCTTACTTTTTTTTTTTTTGCGTCACACCCGGCTATGCACAGGGGTTACTCTACCCGCTGTGCTATCACTCCAGCCTCACTCTTGCATTTTTATTATAAGGTATTTCTTTCTCTGGTTTTAAATTTCTGATAATTTTAAAAATCATCGTTTCTAAGTAACACTGGGAGAAATCTCTGGTATATAGCCAGTGACCCAAAAGTCAAAATTTAAAAATAACAGACATGAGGCTGGAGCCATAGCACAACGGGTAGGGGTTTGCCTTGCAGGTGGCCAACCCAAGTTCGATTCCCAGCATCCCATATGGTCCCCTGAGCACTGCCAGGAGTAATTCTTGTGCATTGCTGGGTGTGACCCAAAAAGCATTAAAAAAAAAAACTAGACATAAAAGTCAAAGGGGAGGGGCTGGAGGCATACATAGCACAGTGGATAGAGAGCACTTGCCTTGCATGCAGCTGAACCACTTTCGGTACCTGACATCTCACACGGTCTCCTTAACCTTGCCAGGAATGATCCAAGTACAGATCTAGCAGTGAGTCCTGAGCGCTACTGTGTGTGACCCATAAACCAAAATGTGCACGTGTGCGCGCGCACACACACACACACAGGACACAGTGATATGATCTTGTTTGGATCTTTTGTTTGTATTCCTGGCAGTGCTCAGAGATCACTCCTGTCAGGGCTTGGGACCATATAGGATGTCGAGGTTTGATCCCTAAATTAGCCACATGCAAGGAGTCTTGTTTGTTTAATTTTGTGGAGCCAGGGATTGAACCTATCTTATGTTTTAAATAGCAGTTGAGGTTTTATCCTTAACACCATATATGGTCCCCAGCACATTACCAGTAGTGACTTAAGAGCATAGAGCCGGGAATAGCCCTGTGCTCTGCAGGGAATGACCCAAACTCCTCCCCAAAATAAAAGTCAATTTTAGTACCTTAAATTAATAAAAGGAATGTTGACAAGTTCAAGGTTTGCAAAAATGGTTTGTCATAGAGACACTTAAAATTGTTATAGGGAGGAATCAGTAAGATAATCCATTTTTTAAAAGTTAGTTGCAAAGAATAACTAGAATACATGAAAGGGAAAGAGATGTGAAAGTAAGAAGAAAGAACTTTTTATATATAGCTTTCTCCAAATTAATAGATTTAACTCTGGGGAAATAGTAACTACGCCATTGTTAGCAGCTTAGAGCCGTTTGTCAGGGATGCTAAGACAGTGATTCTAAAACATAAAGCTAAATTAAATGCTGTCTTAGATTTTGTTTGGTTTTATAATTCTGAGTCTTTTTGGAGGAACCCATGACAGTGTTTCTCAAGTTTATTTCATCATTCATTGAACACGTCTAAGCATAGTGTTAAGAGAGAATACCAATTTGGTGTTTATGAGGTACCCAGAGTTTGACTTAAAGGCAGTTACTAAGAAGTTCTTAGATAAATGATTTATCTATAATTTTTTTCATAGATAAACACAAAGTATTTGCATTTCCTCACCATTGTAAATTAAAAGCAAAATAGTGCTAAGATTTAAGAAAAAAAAAACCAAAACGTAAAATCAGTTAAAATTTAAAGAAAGTCAAATACTGACAATAATTGTCAAAAGCTGCAGTATACATGGAAGGTCCTTTGTGACTACCTGAATTAACTCAACTTTCTGGCATTCCTTGGATATAGCATTAATCACTAAAAGGCATTTCATATGCTAAGAACTGTTCTTAAGTATTTTTAAAATGTAAGAAGATACTTTTAAAAAAACTTGTAGAAATAAATCTTGAAGTATCTTTTTAAAGCATCTAAATCTAGTGACATCTTTTTTTTCTCTCCAAATTTTATCAAAGCACCTTGAGTTATTTTAATGACATCTTTTAAAATGTAATTTAAGAAATAATGTCTTTGAAACAATACAAAATTACACAGCTTTTTAAAAGGTATCTGAAAGTCCCTATATGGTTATTTAAAGTCTTTTAGAAATATATTCTTGACTCTTAGATCTTTGAAGTTTTTTTCTTTTAACAGTAGTTTTCTATTTTTACTTTATTGCCCTAGATTTATTTTATTGCTGCTTCTTTGATATTTAGTTATGCCAAGGCAATACTGTTTAAAAGTATAATGGAATTCTAAAGAGTTGAATGTTTCTTTCCCTAAGCAAAAATGAATCAGATGAAGTTATGAACTTTTTTCTTTTTTTTATTCTAAGATAATAGTAAGGAGGTGACTCAAAATTAGAACCGAAAGCAACCATTAGGAACTGAAAAAACTGCAATGATAACTGCTTATTTTTAACTATGGATGTTAATGCTTTATTTGTATTTCACAGCAAAAGTTCAAACAGACCCTCCCTCAGTTCCAATATGTGACCTGTATCCTAATGGTGTATTTCCCAAAGGACAAGAATGCGAGTACCCACCCACACAAGATGGGTAAGGATCATAAAATAACTTTTAGTTTGACTTTTAAAAACAGTAGTTTAGTAGTAAAGTATACTTGATATTTTTTTCCCTCAGAACTTTCCTCCACTACCTTAATAAAAGCTTGTGAATTTGTAGTAGAAACAATATTAAGCAAAATAATTGGAACTGTTAATGAACTGTAGAGGTAGTACAGAGGTTAAGGTGCCTCACCTAGCACACAGCCAAGCCTGGTTAAATCTCCTTGGGCACTACCAGCAGTGATTTCTGAGCACAGAGCAAGGTGTATGCTCTGAGCACTACTGGTGCAGCTCAACACCTTCTCCTCCACCCTCACCCAAAAAAAGTATGCTGAAATATGGAGATCATGAAGAAGAATGAAAAGCTTATTGATAAAAATGAATATAAAACAGCTAACTTATCTGTGATTTAAAAACTTGATATTTGAACACTGATTTGCAGTGAACTCAACTTTTTTCTCCCCAAAAATTGTTTCTGCAAGGCATTGTGAATGACTTCCATTTTGAGTTTCTGTGAAGAGCAGGAACTGAATAATGTGAGGGCTGATGCCTTTTGGTTGAGTTTATTTCTGAAAATTATTTACAGGAGGTTTATCTTACAGAAGGTTATCTTCCTTCCTAACCCTATAGTTTTTAGCTATAAACTTAAAAAAATTTTTTTAATGATTTACCAAAATAATGTCGTAGAAACAATTGTTTCATGCAACATATGGTTAAATTGCAGTTATAATAACAAGTATAGGGTCTTAAACAGGTTTGGGAACATATTCAACCAATTCTGAAGGATTCATTTAAGCTGGTTAATAAACCTTCATGGTGGCATTATTTAGAATAATAAAAGATTTAAGGAACTGGAGAGATAGTACATTAGGATAATAAAAGATTTAAGGAACTGGTGAGATAGTACAGTGGGTAGGGTATTTGCCTTGCATGTAACCAACCTGGGATCCATCCATAGCTTGATATATGGATCACCCAAGCTCCACCAGGATAGATTTCTAAATGCAGAGCCAGAGTGGTCCTGGGCATCACTGGTGTGGTTCAAAAATTAAAAATAGAAAAATAAGAGTTGAAGTTAAGACCAGGTTACATGCATTGGAATCCTGGCTCTTAACACTTTACTTGCTTTTTGTCTTAGGTAGTTGTTTATGTCTGTGCTTTAGATTTCTCATCCATAAAATGGACACTTCATTGGTGGGATCAAGGGACAGTAGCATGTAAGGCGCTTACAAGAGCAGTAGTCATATAGTAAGAATTAAGTGTTGATTACTGCTATTACTCGGAAGTCCATCAGCCATATTGATACTTGAAATTCAATGGGTTTTGGTCATTGAACCAAGGAATCAAGAGAATTGTAATCTTGTGGTTGCAGTGATGGTGAAGAAAACTTATACTACAGCATTGCTTCAATAACAAATTTTTTTCTTGTAAAAAGAATGCAGTTCTATTTTTGATGCAGTTATATTTTCATACCTTCTTCACTCCCAGTACTCTATAAAATTGGAATTTATGACTTGGTTTCTTTACTTTGAACTTAAAGTTCCTCTATTACTGTCCCTGTCTTATGCAATAGAAATATTAATACAGTAATCGATTTCTTTATTAATCCACTGATCCGTTTATTTCTTAAGTAAATTCAATTTTGACTTGGTGTCAGAAACTAAACTTTATAATTTGTTTAAGTGGGTCTTCAGGGGCTGGAGCAATAGCACAGCGGGTAGGGCGTTTGCCTTGCATGTGGCCGTCCCGGGTTCGATTCCCAGCATTCCATATGGTCCCCCAAGCACCGCTAGGAGTAATTCCTGAGTGCTGAGCCCAGGAGTAACCCCTGAGCATGGGCTGGGTGTGACCCAAAAAGCAAATGAAAGAAAAAAAAGTGGGTCTTCAGTCTTTTTCTACACAAATAAATGCTCCGCGTGGTTTGGAAAAAATGTCCTGGTTCCCGCATGCCCGAGCTATGCTCGTAGAGACTCATGGTCACCAGGGTTCCATCTGGAGAAGGCGGGATGCAGCACCTACCCCTTCTGGGACCTCCCTATGAGATCGGCTCTGTTTGGGACTTGGAGTATTCTCTGGGAGCTGTGGTGCCCTCTAGCAGTGTTCTTCTTTGTTGCTGTGTTGTTTTTTATGTTTTCCTGAGCAACCAACCCAGGTTTAATCCCAGCATCCCCTGTGGTCACCCAGTCTCTGCCAGGAGTAATTCTTGAGTGCAGAGACAGGACTAACCCCTGAGCATCACTGGGTATGGCCCAAAAAGCAGAGAAAGAAAAAATTTTGTCACAAAAATTTTTAACAAAATGAAAACTTATCTTTTCCTCCTTAGTATGTTTATTGCAAAATAAGCATTACAAAGCTAGTTTAACTATTTTGTTTTTAAAACAATGGAAGATGATGTTACTAATATAATAACAGTACGTCTTGGGGTAATAGCTATAGATTGATCTTTTCTTCTTTTTCTGTTTATTGTCAGATATTAAATCTAGGGTGTCAGCCTTGTGAGGTGAGCACTTTACAGTTGAACTATATATTTCACTCCTTTCCCTCCCATATATTAAAGGCATCATTTTATGCTGTAGTGGTGAAATATAGGAAGAGATTGAGATTGTGGATTGTTTTCTTTTAAATAGTAAAATTTAAAAAATATTATATATTTTCTGACATTAATATAATCATTTTCAGATGGAGTAGAGGCAGTGTCTTTACAGATTTGCTAAAGCATTTCATATTCTGTATCTTGCTTCATTTCTTTTCTTAATAACTTCCTGAGAAATAAATGAATTAAGTCAAAGGACTTGCCATTATAATTACCATTCAGCTCATGCACTTATTAGCATTATTTGGGTTTAACTTGTTTTTATATTTAAAATGGTAATTCCAGGGACTAAGGGTTTGATTCAGCAGTAGAGTCTCAGAGTTTGATTCCTGGCACTAAAAAATTAAAATATTCCATACTATGTATATATGGTTCACTAGTGTGTAAACACAAAAAGATAGCAGCGGTCTATCTCTTCTGCCACCTGTGTTCGGTAGCCTCGCGCCGCTTGAGGTCGATGGCGGTGGGCAGGCAAAGGAAGGAGACAAGGGCCAGGCTAGTTGGTGTCAGTTGCAGTTTATTCCATTCCCATCTCCATTCTCCTCTTGATTCTCCTCCTGCTTCTGCCTCCCCTGGCTACTTCATTCTTCTTCTCTATCCCCCTTCATCCTCCTTCTCCTTCTGGAGACTGGATCCCTCAGCCCACTCTTACAGTCTCATTATATCCCCATCCTTCCCCCCCACCCCACCCACCCCCCCGCCCCCCCGCATGAGGGGTTGGGGTAACAATTACACATAGGTGTGGTCACAATCAATAGGGGTAAAGTTCTTTCTCTTGGGGAAAGCCGCTTCTAGGACAGATTCTCATTTAGCAGGTCCACCTACCCTAGGGCGGAATCCCATGGGTATGTGTCTCCTCTCCTTGTCCAACAAACATATAAGCATTCATAATATAAATCATTTTGTATGGACACAATAAGAAATACTTTAAGCTTATAGAATTGCCTCCTAGGGCCATCTCAATTTCAGACTGCAGTGCTCAGGCCAGATAGTCTTTCCTATCCTAGCAGGGTCCTAGTCTCATCGTTACTTCTGATCATGACAGCATTTGTCTATGATCAAGCTCTTATAGTTAAGAATCGTGGCACTTTGGCCTGGTCCATTTCGATGCCAGGGTAGCTCACAGCTTGCTCTGGGTTCATTCAGTACCTCCTCGGGAACCTGCTTTTGGGGTGCTAGGAACTAAGGGTAACTGAGGCTTAAGTCGGGATAGCAGATGAAAGTTACCCGGGAGTGAAAAAAAAAAAGCCCTCCCGTTGATCATCGATTTGCTCGAGCGGGCCCAGTAACGTCTCCATTGGAGACTTTGTTGTTACTGTGTTTGGCATATTGAATACGTCACGGGGAGCTTGCCAGGCTCTGCCGTGCGGACAAGATACTCTCGGTAGCTTGCCGGGCTCTCCGAGAGGGGCAGAGGAATCGAACTCGGGTCGGCCATGTTGGCTGCGTGCAAGGCAAATGCCCTCCCGCTGTGAATAATACCCGGGAGTGAATAATACTCAAAACCAATTAAATCCTAAATTAATCACTTCACTTAATCACTTAATCCCCGTTATTCATCGATTTATTCGAGTGGGTGCCAGTAACGTCTCCATTCATCCCGGTTGCGTGCTAGCGTAGCCCAATGGTATCTGTTCGTTTTAGGAACATGTAGAGCCTCAAACCGATCATTTAGGGTCTTGACGAAGAAGTCTGACCATCTTATAGGTGGGCGTCCACATGATCTTTTGATGTCTCGTGGAATCCAATCAGTAATGGCTCTAGTCCAGCGGTTGTCTGTAAACCTCATTACATGTCCAGCCCATCTGATTTTTGATGTCTTGGCAAATGAGACAGCGTCTCTGATTCTTGAGCGTTGACGAAGATCAGAACTCCGGATTCTATCTCTCATTTGAGTGAATCGTGATATTCCAAGCATAGTTCTTTCGATTCCTCTTTGAGAGACCCGAATAGTGTTCTCATCCTGTTTTCGTAGGGTCCAGGTCTCTGAGGCATATGTTAATGCAGGAAGAATAGTGGAATCAAAGAGATGTGCTCGTAGTTGGAGGTTCTTTGTCCTTTTAGTTATTTCTTCAATGCTCTTGAAGGCATTCCAAGCCGCTCTCTTCCTCCTGCGTAACTCAGGTGCCAGGTCATTCATCATGTTGATTTCTCGACCTAAGTATATATAACTGTTGCATTCGGAGATGGTGGTTCCGTTGAGAGCGAATGGAGCGTCAGGAACAAGGCTGTTTCTCATAAACATTGTCTTCGTAAGATTCAGCTGTAGTCCAACCTTTCCACACTCACGGTCAAAGTCCGCAAGCATTTGTGCCGCTTGGTTGATGTTTGGTGTTATTAGAACGATGTCATCAGCAAAGCGGAGGTGGTGTAGTTGCCGATCATCTATCTTCACTCCC